GGGGGGGGGGGGGGGGGGGGGGGGGGGGGGGGGGGGGGTGGGGCGGCTCTCATGCAGTACCACTGTAGGTCAATAACAGGAAGGACTGTCAGTTACAGACAGGAATGATGTATATTGCCTCTCCTAGGAGAAACTGACTACCTCAGCTACTAAGCCAGTGAGAACCCCTCATCACCCTGAATTCTTGCTTTCCTCCATGGAATTTTGTTCAGAACTCCAGCTTCCTCCTTTTTACTCCTTCATTTGTGGGACTTGCCTGTGGCTTTTACCATAGCCTGTTTGACCCGAATTGCAGTTCTTTGTTATTCCTGAATAAACCCATCTTACTGGTAATATAACTGGCTGTTTTTTTAGGTTAACAAGCTCAGTTGTTAGGTTTGTTCACCTTATTGAACAGGGTTGTTTTCCTTATACATACTTGTATTGTTATTCTCTATTTTGTATTACGTATCCCCAAATGTAAGTACAAAATTTTTATAAATCAAAAAATTTTAAACGTATGAGAGTTTATATAATATTAAGGGCCTCTTCAGTTAATCCTTTTGCAAAACCATCGCCAGTTAATTATATTTTTGCATCAGTCTGGAAAATCACATCTTGGAAAGCATGGTAAACCTGGAAGGTCATATCTTAGAGAGCAAGGTACACAGTGATGTATATTCTGGTGACCTGACTTAGGCCTTATGTATGTACTACAGGTCTCCACACTTCTATTGCTGGTCCTTTGTCTTGTATAGATTTACTTCATCACATCTGCCCTTCTGATGTTCCCATGGTCTCTTTAGGTATAATAAGCAACAGCAGCTATCCTTTTTTTAAATTCCCACCACCCTTCTTTGTTATCTTCAGTAGTGTGTTGTATTTTTTAGATTCCACATATAAGTGATATCATACAGTATTTATAGTTCTCTGTCTGACTTATTTCACTTAGCATAGTACCCTCCAAGTCCAGCAGCCGTTCTTTTGAGAGACTAGTGTGTATTTGGGGTCGAAATTCCTTGAGTCAAGAGTTTTATTTTATTTTTTTAAGAGTTTTAATTTACTTTTATAAAGTGCCATTCTGTACTTTTAAAAAGTGTTATAAGGAAAAGGAACTAAAATGAAACAGAGTATCAAAGCAACAAAATGTAAGCAAACAAAAAAACTTGTAACTTTGTACAAAAGGAGTCCAGTTCTTTTATCTTTCTTTAAAGGTCCTATTTTCTTTTTCTTTTTTTAATAGGTCCTATTTTCTTTATTCTTAATAATTGTGTATTTCTCTACTGGACCAAATTTATGTTTTTAACATCAGACTTAATTGTGGGATATTTAATATTTAATAATATTTAACTCTAATAAGGACTTATCTGTAGCTGAGTCTAGAAGATCATTCTGTGCTCAGGTCTCATGCTGTGTGTTTTATAACTTTCTTCAGTCATCTTTGGATCTTTAAGGATAATGGTCAGGGATGGCACTGGTCAGTGTAATCTTAGGATTACCTAAAAATCATATTTTTAGCTAATATTGTCCCATTTCATTAGAAATACAAGAATGATTTAAATGTTAGGTTCTTTTCCTTTATAAATTAATGTATGAGTGAACAGTAAATGGTTATGAAGAACCCTGGACTCAAAAAATCTGAATTTACTTATCTGAGTACCTTTACAAAGGCTTCTTTTTATTCCTCAAGCCCAGTAGTTTCCGTTCTAAGACAACTAGTCTTCATGGGTGCCTTGAGCTGGGGTGACAGAAATGAATGAATGTCTTTTCTATTGATTTCTGGGAATCTAGTTTTGTTCTTGGTCACTCTTTGTTCAGGTCAACCTGAACAGAGATCTACTTGTCTGATAAGCAGAGTTTCTCTTCCCAGCACATTCGGTTTTAGATTGTAGATTCAAGGGGTGGTTGGGGAGAGTGATGCTGGAGCTGGAAGTTTAAGCTGGAGTTTCAGGGGCTACCACAGTGACACTTCTGAAGTTGGTTAGGTTCTGGAACATGTTGCAGTCCATTTCCACAGTGAGCCTCTGGAGCCCCACCTGCATTGGTGTGAACTTGAGTTGGGTGCGCAAGGTGTTTCTGGACTGCACCGAACTTAATCTGAAATAAAGGAAAAGGCAGGTGCTAGTTCTGTCCCAGGGTCATTGCTTTGCTGGTCCCAGTGACTCTGATCCTTACCTGCTTAAAGAAGTGGACTCTGAAGAAATAAACATCCAAGTACCTTGCTGTTAGAGGAGGTTTGAAGGGGATGGAAGGCAGGAGCCTCCTATGGTGAGCAGTTGTATGTTTGAGAAGAGAAACATCCTATTCTAAGGGCTTCCAAGTTACACCTGTTGTTTCGTTTATCACCTGCGACTTCAGTCTGGTCTCCTTCTTAGTAATAGTATGTTTGGGAAGGCTGTTTTGGAACCCTCGTTGCTAACTGCAGAGGGTCCAGTGGGCATATTGAGATGTCAGTATGTCAACAGGTGGTGTTTTGCAGCCCTATTAGCAACCTTCTAGTCTGCCTGTGGACCTTCTTATGTTGACTGAGGGAATGGTGCAGATATTTTTGAGGAGCTTTGCCCCACAGTTGAGCTGGGAGAACACAGAAGTCTGGTTAAATGTTGGTAGTCCCTCCTCTCAACTTATGGGCAAGACTGACCCACTGAGTTTCTTGAGGTTGAGGCAGTGGCTCAACAACCAGACAACCTGTGAGGGACCTCATGGGTGGTAGGAGAGGGCATCGTGAACTCTAAACTGTATGTATGTATTCAGCAGAAGATGCCATGGACTTCATGAGAGAAGGAGCAATAATGAGCGAAGATACAACATCTAAAACCAATAAGGCACTAATCTAGACTATACAGGGTTTGTGTACACACACACACACACACAAATCAACAAGGAAAAAAGGCAGGAACACCAAAAGAAAAGTGGGCAAAGTTAAAAACAAACTATACAGAGGAGGAAATGGAAAAGGCTAATAAACATATGAAGAGTTAACAAATTAAAACAATAATGAGATATTACCTTATCCTGTTAGACTGGAAAAAAAGACAAAGCTGGGTATTGCCAAGAGTGGAGGAATGGTAGGAAGATAGAAACTGTCAAGTACTGCTGGAGGGAGTTGTAGACTCTTGCAGCCATTATGCAAGCCAATCTGATAGCACGTGGTCAAACCAGGTCATATCCTATGTCTCAGCTACTCCATTCCTGCGCGTATTTCCCCCCACCTCCCACAGATTTTCAAGCGAGTATGTAAGGGGACGTATATCTGTAGTGTCCGAGAGTTGGAGGCGCTGTGGAGTGGCGTGGTAGGAAGTCGGGGGTGTACACGATGGAGTAATATGCAGCAGAAGCAATGGACTTGACATGTGGATGAATCGTAAAAACATAGTTCTGAATGAAAAGAAAAAGAATTAGACGTAACACCGTTTACGTAAGTTAAGAATACAGTACTCATGAAGCAACAGTACTCATACATACTAAAAAAGGGATATGAAGGGTGGTAGTGGGAATGGGGGTAGGGAATAGGAGTAAAAGAGAATGTAGAAATAAACAAAATTCTGTATTGTGTTGTCACTAGTAGAATGCAGCTCTCTGGCTTCACTGAGAGGCAGCCTACCCTCCCTGTGGCGTTCCCTCCCACCCAGCCCTAACCCCCTCACCTGCATTCACCAGCAATACCCAGGCTCTCCCTGTGTGACCAGAGCCGCGGCCAGCGTCAGGTGCCCAAGAGGCACAGAACCTCCTCCGTCACTCCTGCACCCACATTGGTGGCCCCAGGATGAGAGAGGCCCTAATCCTTTAGTTCAACTCTGGCAGGTATTTGCTCTGTCTCCATAGACAAAGCAAAAAGACAGTCATCGATCTTGGGTTCCTGCCTTTCTGACCAGTTGAGATGTTTTTGTGGGTTGAGAAGCTTGCGGTCTCTTACCTGTAGCTCTTCTCTCTGTGAATGAGTCCCCTTCCGAAGATGGAGATCACACAGCCCTTCATGGGAGCATCTAAGGAGTTATGGATGCTGACTGAGGCCGTAAGGGGCTGATGTTGCTCTGCTGTCTCTGGCATCTGTGGGAGATGCCAAGAGCACAGAGCTGCAGTTGCTCCTTCCCCTCCTGGCCACCCTCCCTGAAGCCTCCTCAGTTACTCTCCTAGCTCTGCCATCCTCACCCAAACTCCACAGCTGACTTCTCTACCCCTCTACCTGCTCTTCCTGCATTTACTCTCACCCTTGACCCATCACTGACAACCTCTGATGGTGCCTTTCCCTCACTTAGAAACTTTGGAGGGTTTCCCATTGTCCTCAGAATCCAGCTTCGGTTGGCATTCAGAGCCCTTCCTGATCTGCTCCCAATCTACCTGCAGGCTCATCTGTTCCTCCCCTGACTGCAAGACACGCCAGCCTCTTCGGGCACCTTCGGAGCCTCAATGCACCCCTCAGGCTCCCCTCCTTTGGGCCTCTTTACTCAGCCTTCTGTCTGCAACGGCCTTCCCCCACTTCTGCACTGAAAGCTTACCCATTTTTCAAGGCCCAACACAAATGCCACATCCTGCATGAAGTCTTCCCCAAACCCACCAGCTGGAATTAATCCCCTTTACTTCACTTGTCCCAGAGCGACTTTGTACCTCTCCTAAAGCTCTGACATAAAAGACCACACGTTGTGTCTCCCTTGCCCAACTGTAATAACCTCTTCCAGAGCAGAGACCAGGTCACATTCGTTTTGGTCTGGGTAGACATGTGGAAAGAGTACTGGACCAAGAGCCCTAAGCCTCTAAAATGTCCTATTTTTATGATCGTGGGCATGATGCTCTCTGGGACTGTTTCCTCCTCTGAACAATGGGAACAATTCCACCTCCCAGGGCTTTTGTATTAAAAGAAGTAAAAGAGGTGAAAATACATTGGCACATGTACAAAGTGCTAAATAAACATAGGCTGTTATTATCTCTGTAAGTATAGAGGCAGCAACTGGGAAGACCCCGATTTTAGAAAACTTTACTTAATCTGAACTAAAGTTGGAAGATTTAAACTTTAATAGCATGTATAAGAAACCATCTCTTTCAAGAGAAGGAGCTCTCAACCCAGCATTTCCTGGTAGTTCTTCAGCACCGTCACCTGCTCTGAAGCTGGAGAGACTCGGTGCCTTCTGAAACGGGGACCTGAGTAGCGGCAAACGCCAGTGATATGGGGAAGGACTGGTGCCTACCTCGATGGCAAGGTGTGGTCTGCAAATGGCGATGTCTTGCTGAGCAAAGCAGGTAGGGCTGGAGTGTGTTGCCATAGCGGTGAGTCTGAGGAAACTATTCTCTGGCGGGTTTTGTTTAAAATTGGAGAAGGACAGGAAGGTGGAGATTTTCTCAGCTGAAACATATGACAGGTGGAGTCAGCACCCAGGGGTGAGTGCATGCGCCCTGGAAATGAGCAGTAGTTTCACACACAACGCAAAGGAGTTGGGACCTCACTGAAGCCAGAAAGATGCCTCATTCCTCACAGCAATTTCAAAATTGAACTCAGTCAAGAACCCACCCATGACCACCATCACCGCCGCCACTAACACTCTTGATGGACCACCTCCACAGGGCTGGGGAAAGGGCACCTGTGAACTAGAACAAGTGAAGCTCTTGGAGCCTGTTTCCTTGTCTAATAACAATGCCTACCTGGAGGGACGGCTTGTGGTTCACGAGACAGTCTTTAAGTGCTGGTCTCAGACCTGCCACCCAGCTGTGGCTGAATATATGTATGCTTAGTCCCCTCCCCTTCTCTGCTTCTGCTTTTTCCCTTTTGCAGCGAAAATGAAGCCATCCTTCGTCCTTGAGGAAGCCTCTCGAGCTCATGTTCTCATTCGCAACCTACAGATATAGACATCTACCCCTGCTGTTAACCCCCCTGGAGGGTAAGGCATCCCCCCTGCCCAAGTCCAGTCCTTTGCTTTTTAAATCAGTGCCCCACCCTGACCCCACCACTGCTTAGCTGTGTAACTTCGGGCAAATTATTTAATTCTCTGTGTCTTGGTCTCCTCATCTGTAAAGTGGGATAATAATGGCTCCTGCCTCATAAGGTCGTTATGAAGATAAATGAGATGATGCATATAGAACATTTAACACCATGTTTGCCAAAAATAAGTGCTTGATAAATGTGAGCTATAATTATTCTAGTTGCCTCTCATTTCCCCAAGGATTGCACCATCAATTATAACCCATCTCTCCTGAGGTTTCTGTCCTTTTCTCTCTGCTGATTCTTCCTCAGCATGTAAGTGGATTCTGCTGTCTCTCATCTTAAAAGAAAACAAAGAACACCCTCCTCCCCAGTGTCCCTGGCTGACTACCACCAGGTCTCCCTTCTTTTTCCATCCATTCTTCCAGGAAGGACTGCACACCTTGTCTCACTTCCTCAACTCTCAATCTGTTTAAGCTCCAGGAACCTGGTCTTTGCCATTGCTTCTCTGTCAGACCACTCTGTCAGTGGACGCTTTTCAGCCCTGACCTCTCATGGCCTCTCTGCTGACCTTGCTTCGTGCCCCCATCCTCTCTTTCACTTCTCAGTCTCTCACTCTGCTCTTTCCCTGACTTCCCCCTGCACCCCAACATGCTGGTGCTGCCTGGGTTTCCTCCTCACCCTCTCACAGTCCTCTCCCACTCCCCCCACCCCCAAACAGGCCTTTATCTTGAATACCAGGTTTAGGTTTCCAGCTGCCTACTGGCCGTCACAGCTTGGATGTCTTATGGGCTTTCAAATCCAACATGCCACAAACAGAACTCAACATCTTTCTCCCCAAACCTGCTCTTCCCCATTTGCCCTATTCTGGAGGCTCACCCAAGCTGGAAGCACCCTCTCCCCACATACACGAGTTCAATCTAGCCTACCTCTTCAATATGACTTCATTTGAAAAGTGCAGCTAGTTTAGTTTGTCCTTTATTTCTTGGCTTGATTATTACAAAACCTTCCAACCTCCAATCCAGTGGTTGTCGACATTGGATGTACATTAGAATCATATGGGAAGCTTTATAAAACAATCCCAGTGCCAGGCCACACCCCAAATCAATTATAACAGACTCTGATGGTGAGGCCCAAGCATCAGTATTTTTTAAATTCCCCAGGTGATTCAACGTGCAGCCAAGGTTGAGAACCACGACTCTAATACGACCCCTTCCATTCCATTCTGCCCATGAATTTCTGATCACATTGACTCCCCTGGTTAAAACCTCCCACCAGCTCCCCACTGCCCGGAGAACAAAGCCCAAACTCCTCAGCAGGACCTACAAGCCGCTTCATGATCTGGCCTTGTCCAGCTCTCACACCACTCCCCCACTCCATCCCTCCCTCCCTTGGAAAGGGAACAGGGTGGAGGGACTGGAGGCAGGGGGACCCGTCAGGAGGCTGCTGCAATCATGTAGACAAGCACTATTCCACTGATTCTCTTGCCTGCACATTGGAATCACCCAAGGACTTAAAACTTTTTTTGATGTTTGGGCCAAACCATAGAATTTCTGACTTAATTGGTCTGGGGTGCAGGCTGAGCATCAAACTTCCCCCAGGTGGTTCTGATATGCAGCAAAGTTGGAGAACTGCTCTAGTCCAGGGAATTTCAACCCTAGAATAACCCAGGGAGCTCTGAAAAAATACCAGTGCCTGGATCCCATCCCAACTCAATTAAATAAGAATCTGAAGGAGGAGGAAGAACCTGAGCATATGTCCCTTCTTCCTGGAATGCCCTTGACCCACTTTTTTTTTTTTTTTTTTTTTTTTTTGTGGTGCGCGGGGCCCTCCCCGCTGTTTCCTCCCCCTTTGCCGAGGACAGGCTCCGGACGCGCAGGCCCAGTGGCCATGGCTCACGGGCCCAGCTGCTCCGCGGCATGTGGGATCCTCCCAGACCGGGCACGAACCCGCACCCCCTGCATCGGTAGGCAGACTCTCAACCACTGCGCCACCAGGGAAGCCCGCCCTTGACCCACTTTACTGTCTGACACTGTCCTACTCAACCTTCAAGACCGAGGGCAGCCCGATTTACCTGGGGGCAGCCTGCTCCAGCCTGGGTAAGACGCTAACCCGCCATTGTACTCTGTTTACCTTATCAAACACTTCTTACACTGTCTGTTTGCTGATATAACTGCAATCAGAATTGTGGGGTTTTTTTCCCTGTGTGAAGCTCAATAAATATGTATTGAATGAGAAAAAGAGAAAGAGAGAGAGAGAGGGCACACCAGGGGCTAGATGCTATCTCTTCAGATCTGCAGGGGGTGCTGTATGGCCGCTGCCTGCCCAGGGCAGGAGCTGGGTGTGTAGAGTGTCTGGGGAGGGGGGCCGTAGAGAGTTACCTGAGTTGGCCCTGAGTGTAAGGACAAGCTTCTTCGTCCAGAGCTTGGCAGCAAGGACACCATTGTAGTATACTGCCTGCAGCCCAACAGCCAGCTGCACTTCTTTATCATGGTCACTAGGGTTTAACAAGTTCACAGAGAACCGGGCGTCCCCTCCCAGGGCTAGGGAGCTGGGTGCTTCCAAGAAGAAATGTAAAGGATCATCAGTCTCGAGACTGGGAGGATGGATGCCATCGTCTTTCCCATGTTTCATTCTGTTTTCCTGGACTTTCTCCAGCACCTCTTTTTCTTGAAGAGATCCTGAAGAATGGAATAAACAAAGCAGACCTCTTACCCAGCAGGTGTAGACCCTTCTAATAGCAGCCCAGGATTAAGGTTCATTTTCTCGCTGCTGTTCAAATGCCAAAGCCACATGAGCTTTGCAAACCTCTAGGTCCATATTTAGCTAAAAAAAGATCTGTGTTAGACCCACCACAGATACAGTGTATCTCTTCAAAGCCACTCACGGGATCAAGTTCTTCAAGTGCTATGAATTTGCCCCTTGAACGGTGAGAGAGCTAGTTTTTGTACAAGTTGCAGGGACTTGAATCTTCCTAAGTGAAGAAGTTTGGACTTATTCCAAGGGCAATGGAGGCCATGGAATATTCTGGAACAGGAATATTCTGTAACATAATTATATTTGTGTCTTGGGAAGCTCATTCTGGAAACTGTAAGTTGAAAATAGAGTAATGATGGGGAGACTGGAGGCGGGGGTCTAGTTAGGAGGCTGCTGCAATACTTTAGACGAGAGATGATGAGGCCCTGGATGATCCACAGGCAATGGGGAAGGAGATGAGGAGATGGGTGTGAGAGTACAGTGGGGTGGTGATGGGGGAGACTCAAGGACAGTGCAGGGCTTCTTGTTTGGACAAATGGGTGGACACTGCAGTGGTGGGCTCCAAATCAGCTTGGAGGGGTGTTGAAGGAGAGCAGAAGAGAGAGAACATCTCTTGGCAGCTGGGCTTGGTATTAACTGTGCTGTTGTATAACAGTGGTTCTTAACTGGGGGCAATTGTGCCCCCAGGGGACATCTGGAAATGTTGGGAGACATTTCTGGTTGTCACAACTGGTGGCAGTGGTTGAGGGGGAGCCGGCATCTAGTGGATAGAGGCCAGGAATGCTGCTGAATGTCCTATGGTGCACAGCCCTCCACAACGAAGTTAGCCAGTCCAGAATGTGAATAATGCCAAACAGGGCTGAGAAATCCTGTTTTATATGATGGGGAAAGGACCTCTCTTTGGCCTGCGTGTGTCTGGCCCATTCTTTTCCTCCTGTTGCTGTTTCAGGGCCCTCCTCTGCCCAGTACCTTCAGGATACTTGTAGTTCTGCGTGATGTCCTCACAGCGGTCACAGTCCACACCCTTGGTGCTGATGTTGTTGCCAACATACTTAGTGTTGGAGTCGGTCAGCTCCAGTGTCCCATCCTCATGGCACTTCCAGACCACACATGAGGCATTTATTGAGGCAAAAATGTCTGATACTGCAGGGGTCAGCCCCAGCGTCCCCTCCTTGACTGCTTTGACTGGGACCAAATCACAGGCCTCCAGGACTGAGGGAGAGAAAGGGAGAAAGGTCGGTGAGCGAGACCACGCCCAGACCTCAGCTTGGGTCAGAGCTCACAACAGCAGTCCCCATCCTATGCCCTATTGTCCCTCCCCTGGGATCAAGGTCAGAGGTGGGCACTAGGCAAGGTTTCTGAGAGGGCACAGCTGAGGTGAAACTCACTATTTAGGGACAACACTTTTTGGTCATGGCCTATGGCAGAAGCCCTCTCAGAAACTGGACAGGTAATAACCTCAGAGGTACAGAGTACACGGGAGTTCCTAAGCCAGCTTGACTACAGACATGATACGGATAGGTTGCCTTTGCTGAGCACTTCCTATGTGCCAGGCTCTGTGACAGTTCTGTTCCTGGGAAAGGAAGAGCCATCCTTTTATAACTCCTGAAGATTCCTTTTCTGAGCTTGAGCCTATCCTGATATCCTCTTCATCCACAACCAGAACCCCAGAAGTCCCACTCTACAAGCTGTCTTAAGACCCTCTGCCCTTCCATGAGACTTAGCTCCCTCACCTGTTGCTCTGAGGGGGGCTAGTCTCCCTGAGACCTTGGGGCCAAGATAGCTAACACATTTGTTCCCTTGAGCCTGCGGGCATCAGGTCAGCATTCTGCTGGTCACTATCATTCCTGGCGCTTCTCCTGTTTTAGGGGATGCAGACCCCCTTTGGACCACCTGCTGCCCCTCTTTCCTCTCCGAAGGACTCCTTGTCCTCATGCAGCTCTGTGCAGCCCAGGGAAGTCCTGGGCCCATGCCCAAGCTTTACCTCCACCTCCATTAGGGGCACTTGGGTACAGAATCTGCCATCCGTCATAACCCTGGGGCAGAGCAGGCCGAGCCATCCAGCACTCCGTGGAAGTCTGGAAGATCCTGAAGGTAGCAAAGGAAGCAACTCAAATGGGGAAAAAAAGAGTCCCGAAGCGGTCCTAGAAATGACACAGCTGTTACTAGGGGGATAGGAGGATGCTGCATAAAAGTGGTCCTGGGAAGGGGCATGCACTCCACAACTCACCCTGACCATGCTGCTTTCAAGAGTCTTGAAGGCCTACTCTCAGCAGGGCCCCTTGGGGTTCCCATGGGTGACACCCCGCGGGCTTGGAGCCCTTCCAGGTCTGGGACCTCATCCCCTTCGGGCTTCTCACCAGATTCTGCCTCTGTGGCCTTCTCCATTCTGAAGCCCCTCCTCACTGTAGTACTCATCTACGAGCAGGCCCCCGCCAGTGCCCTGGGCTGAGGCGAACGTGGTAATGACGCGGGCAGGGATTCCCAGGCCTCGCAGCACTGCATGGAAGGGGGCAGGGGGTCAGGGCACCAGAGAGGCCTGGAATGTGGGGGGCAGGGTACATGGCTAGCGTTTTCAGGGTCTCCTCTGGACACCGGGCACTTTCACTATCTTAAATGCCAGGTGACATTGTGGAAAGAGAAGGGGCACAGGCACCAGAAAGTTAGAATTGACACCAGCCAGACCCAGGCCATATGAGGGCCCAGAAACGAGGAACAAACCAGTTACACAGCAGGCAGAGTACACAGCGGGGGGAGGCTTACGGGATACACAGCAGGGCTTGCTTTCCTGGGGCAGGGCCAGGGGAAGCTTTGGGGAAAAGTGAGTTTGGGAGCAGAGCTCGCCAGATGGGCCCAAGTTTGCCGAAGGGGCAAAAGGAGCAGCAGCTGGTTGGGAGGAGCTGCTCGGGATAAATAGCTGGTTTCTTGGCCAGACGGAAGCAGAAGCAGTTATAACTGCACCGGAAGCGGTTATAACTGCACCGGAAGCAGTTATGGGTGTGATGGAGGCGGGGAAGTGCTGTGGGTGGAGGAGGGGTAAACCAAGAAGCAGGGCAGACACTGCGCCGTCGCCAAGGGAACGTTTGGGTGCGGCAGGCAAACCTGCTCTGTACCTGTGCAAGCAACGGCAGCCAACACCCAGGCCTGACCATCATACACGGGCCTCCCCTGGCCCTTGACCCACTGCCGCAGGATGGGCGCGCTGCCCCGGCGCTTGTTCAGCAAGGCCTTTTCCTCGGTGGTCTGGATCTGCGGGGTGGGCAGGACACTCTTCTCCTTGAGGGCGTGCAGCTGTTCGGGGAAATGTGGATGGGCAAGGAGGGCTCATCACAGTTCTCCAAGGGGGGTGAACAGACCACCTGCATGGCAATCACCTGGAACTTGTTAAACCTGCGTGTCCCTGGGCAGTGAAAGCGCTGACTCCTAACCACTGGACCGCCAGGGAATTCCTGGGAATCCTCCTTTTTAACAAGTCCTCCAGAAGCAGGGCTTCATGGGCCGTAGTGAAAAACAAAGCTCAGGACACAAGAGCGGCAGGAGGGCTGCCCCTTGGCCTGCCTGGCTCCCATTCCTTGTAAGTGTTTTCACCTGGGGCCTCGAGGCCCACACATCCCAAGCTTCCTCCCCCTCGCAGGCTGGCCCTGTCCCTCACCAGCTCTTCAGAGGCGTGGACGGAGCCACATGAGGAAATGCGGGACACGTTATTCCTGTGAGAGAACTTTTAAGGACAACAGGAAAGCACCAAGCTACCTTCATGGGAATAATTTAGAAATGAGAACAAATGCCTTTGACCACCTTAGCAGCAAACACTGGGTAAGATGGACGTGACTCCTTTCCTCCCAGGGACCTAAGCCCCCAGGTTGGGCTGGGGGTGGGGAGGAAGGGAGGGGCCAAGGAAATCCGGACCAGTTTTAGTCCTTGCTGGCTTGTGTCCTGAGGGATGACACCTCCCTGTGCTTTTCTCTCCCCTGTGGATGCTAGTGTCCTTCCCTCCTCACTCAGAACCTTCTTCAAGGACTGTCCCCCACACCGTGGGAGGAGGGGACCACTTGTGATTTGAAGATTGACAGGGCCGTAGAGGTGGGGCAGCTCTGTCAGAGGGCTGCCGTCTCGTCACCTCCCCCTCCCGACCCTGTCCTCACTCACCAATGCACCCAAGACACGGGCCACATGCACGGGGTTGCCCCACTTCTCCACCCGCTTGTCCACGCTCAGTAAGTCCAGGCTGAGGTCGATGACATCCTCCTCGAACTATAAGGACCACACAGGGCCATGATGGTGGGTGTGCAGGTCAGGCATTCTTCCCACAAGTCAACCCTGTCCCCTCGTCCTTCTCCAGACTCAGGCTCCACTCCTTCCTGCCTTGCCCCCTTGGGAGTTCTGGCTTTTCCCTCTGCCCCCAGGGCTGCCTGGTCCCTGTGCCCGGCACTCCAGCCATTTGCCTCTTCTGTCGTCTGACTCCTGATAGCGTGAGCTCTTGAGCGCCAGGGCCGTGTCGAGTCCTCTCATTTCTATCGTTTTCCATGTCATTTGCTCCCACTGCCCCTGACAGGGCAGTCCTGTGTGGGGGCAGATAAGACAGCAGCTCCTGCTCTTGAGGAGCCCGGGGTTAGGAGTGAGGGGGACATGTGGCTGCTTAGGCTACAGATCTCAGCAACGTGGCCAGGGCTGTAGGAGAGATGCCCACCCAGAGAGCACAGTGGAGAGAGTCACTCTGCCTCTGGGGGCTGGGGAAGGCTTTCAGAGGGCCTTAAAAGATGGGTAGGAGTTTTCCAGGGGATAAGGGAGGGAAGGTATTCCTGGCAGAGGGAATATTCAGCCTGCACATTCAAGGGATGGCCAGGGGCTGGAGCATGGAGTGGCTCTTGGGGAAAGGAAAGCAGTGGCCCGACTGTGAAGAGCCTTGCGTGTCAAGCCTGGGGATTTGTTTTTTATCCTGTAGATGGTGGGGATTTAACAGAGGTTTGATTTACGTCGTCTTTAGGAAGATAGCTCTGGAAGCTGTGGAGGATGGTCTAGTGTGGCTCTGAGGGAGGAGAGGTACCACGGGGCTGAAACTGCATAAAGAAATGGCCTCATGACCAGGGGATTTTGGACCTGCCCACTCTGTTTGACCTGAGTACTGAAGGTTATGGGACACTCACTGTCCCCCAGGCTTCCCCAGAGGCCCCTGTACCTGGCCAAAGTCCCAGGGCTCAGCCTGGATGCAGTCAGCTGTGCCCAGGAAGATGAGGCCGTTCTGGTTCAGCAAGTACTCCCTGCGTTGAGCTTCATTCGCCAGGAACACAGCATCCTCTGGAGAGAAGCAGGCAGGAATGAGGCTCTGGGGGATACTGGGCTTGCCCTCCACCTCCAGGCCTCTGCCCTCCATGCTCAGGTGGGATTCAGCTGCAGGCCTTCTCTTCAGCTCCAGGCCTGATGAGGACTGAGGAGGAACCCCCTCTTTTCACCCCACACTGGGATCCAGGCTCCTCTCTGGTGAGAGTGGGGAAGGGGGTCAGAGTCCCTGGGTCAGCCATGGTGGCCTTCATGGTCAGCCAGCCAACAGGAACAAGCCAACCTTAAAAGGCCTGCTGGTTCCCGAAGATACTTGCAGCCAGAGTGCTACTGAACCAAGAGAATTTGGCAATAGCCCAGGGAGCGTCCCAGGGGGCCTGTTATGTCTCTCTCACAAGTTCAACCAAAAAAAAAAAGTGATTCCGAAAAACCAATCAAACGTGTTGACAGGCATGAGCAGAAGGGAATTTGAGCAGGTATGTGTAGAGCGGTAGCCAGAGCATTAGTTTCCACCCAGGGTGTCCAAGTGGGTCTGAGACTCCTATGGTCTCTCCCCGCAGCCTCTCCTGCTGTCTTCATCCAAGGGTTGGGCTGGGGATCATGAGGAGGGTGGGGGCTTTAAGGAGGCCATCACCCACTCTAGGAAGCTGGGAGCAGCAGAGGGACCTGCTCTGCTTGCCAAGTGTCTCCCTCTGCCTGGTGCTAGGGGTGAAGTGGGGGGTGGTAGACTAGTTCTGGGGGACTAGAAAGAGAAGAGGATTTCCAAACCATCCCCCAGGCATCCAACTGGGATGAGGGTACTCAAAGTAAAAGAAGGATGGCATATTAGAAATCAGGAATCCCTGAAAAACCTGGGACAGAGGATCACAGAGCCATGGGCCCAAGGAGCCCTGGGCCCCTGCCCCTCCATCCTTAGTACTGTCTGTGAAGTCAGCTGGACATCTTTTCTTTGGAAATCACTTTAAACTGAGGTGTTTGGCCCCAGGCCCTGCAGGCTCTGGGAAGTACATTTTCAGAGCATAGGTAGCAGCCCCTCCTCTTCTCTGCTTGGGTGTAGCCCCTCCCCCCCTTATAAAGTCCCTGCTTATGAATAGGATTCTTTCATTACAGGGTGCAAAATTTCCTTTTGAATCCAGGAGAGCCCCATCTCCAAGTATGCTAAGATGAGACTGAGTCCCAGATAACCTCTGAAAATCTCTTACCTCCCAGGTGAGCAGTGCCAACAACTCACTCCTGGCCAGACAGACCCTGCCCCCCCCACGCCTCCCTCATCTCCATAGAGAGGCCTTCCCTACACAGGTCCCTACAAGCCAGGCATGGAGGCAAGAATCCTGGCACTGAGTCAAGACTGTGAGCTCCCTCTGAACCAAGCACTGTCCCAGAACTGTCTTTGCTGTGTCTTTGCTCTGGCCATCAGGGTCTAGCTCTGGATGTGGGCTCAAAGTCAGCGAGGCAGGTACACTAAACCCTCAGTTTTGGAGGGAATGGCTTGAGGGTCTTTCAGTGTACGGAGAGCCATGGGGCCTCCCCCAGCTGAAGGGGCCCTGAATCCACACTCACCCACATGGGGCAAGGGCACCTCAATGGACACTAGTTCTCATCCATTGTTCAACCTGCCAAACCCCTTGGAGCAGAAGCAAAGGGCCTGAACTGAGGAGAGACAGGGCCACCTGACAGAGGGGATACTGCAGAACCCCAGCCTGGGCAAAAGAAGTGGAGATAGGGAGCTCACTGGGATTCAGGTGCCATATAGAAAGGGCATCAGGTACTGGGGTGCAGGAACCTGGTAAGATTTCTTCTACTTCCCCTTGTTCCCAGCCCTGCCTCGTAATGAGGCTGTGAAAGGAAAAGGCTTGTCTGGCGTAGCAGGGACAGGCAAGCAGGAGGAAACTTTTCCCGTCCCCCAAACAACCGTTCAGGGAACACAAAGGTTTAAGGTGGGGGGTGGCAGATTCTAAAGGGAAGACAGATTCAGTCTTCAGAATGGGCAGGAAGAGGAAATGTTCTCTTAGCTCCCGTTTGGAGCACGTCAGCCATGTCTGATGACTTTTCTAGATGAAATAGTCCCGACAGCTAGAGCTGAGCTTTGCCAGAGGTGGCCACTGGAGGCCACCTGACCCCAGGAAGTCCACCCAGAGGCTGCTGAGCTAGGGAGGCTGGCTGTTTGATTTGTTGCTCCAGGCAGATATTGGGATAGGTCAGTGTGGAGAGAACCCAGCAGTCTGTAGTAAGGACAGAACTAACAAGTGGAGAAAAGCAGAGAGCTCAGAAAGGAAGATTTACTGTGAAGTTGAAGCTGCAGCTCTGGGCCCCCCACCAGTACAGACCCCTATAAGCCCAGGGAGGAGCCTTAGCAATTCAAAATTCTGTGTTCTTTTTCTGAAAGAGGGTCCCCCAAATTATATAAACTTCAGGTCCCACAAAACCTGGATTCACCCTGGAGACAGACTACGGGAGCCCAGGGAGGGAACAGAGAAGCCCGTCCCTCAGGTCGCCTCTTTTCCTGAAGCGCTTTCCAGCTCTTGGCCCCTGTCCTGTTATAAAAGAGGGTAGTTCTCCTAGGGTCATCTCAGTGAGTCTCAGCTCCTGTGACCAAATAGCATGAGCCAGCACCAGACAAGCCTCTGCTCTCAGTGGGAAGCCCTGGACTGCTTCTTCCAAGATGACCCCAAGAGAGGACCCTGGGTCTGAGAGGCCATTCATCCAGAAGGCAGGCACCACAGGAGCTGAGTGCTAGTGCCGCCCTAGAGGGAGCTGGGTCCTGAGGCCTGGAGCAGTCGTACCCCAGCTCCGGGGCCTTGAGTCCTTTGTAGCCCAGGCTGGCCAAGGTCCAAACTCACCTCGACCCCAGGGGTTAAAGAGCAGTGTGAACTGGCCCAGGCATTGCTTCCTGCCTGAAACCTGCAGCAGGAGTGAGTAGTGGCCAATGACAGCGTCTGCGGGTGTGGTCACAGAGATAGTCCAGGACTGGTCATCTCTCTCCTCCACCATTGCACTCCACCACTTCCGGTCCCCAAGACTGGAAATTGAGAACGTGGCTTGGGTCTGGTTGGCCTTGGAAGGCTGCTCTCCTGCAGTCACACAGAGATGAATTGGTCATTTGGATCTCTTTGCCACAACTCAGAGTAACAAAGCGAAGTATCCCAAAGATGGAGCAAGTGAAAATTAGATTAGGAGGAGAATGAAAGCAGCCCATCCAGGAATGGGAGGCAGTAAAGGGTGATGGGAGAGCACAGGTCCTCAGCGCTCATGGACCTAAATCTAGAAAAGGTTCATAGTGTATAACATGGGTGTAGTAATGATACCTCTTTCATAGGGCCAACGTGAGGTTGTTTTTTTTTAAATACATTTATTTATTTTATTTATGTATTTTTGGCTGCATTGGGTCTTTGTTGCGGTGCGCGGGCTTCTCATTGCAGTGGCTTCTCTTATTGCAGAGCGTGGGCTCTAAGCACGCAGGCTTCAGTAGTTGTGGCACATGGGCTCAGTAGTTGTGGCTCGCAGGCTCAATAGTTGTGGCCTGCAGACTGTAGAGTGCAGGCTCAGTAGTTGTGGCACACGGGCTTAGTTGCTCTGCAGCATGTGGGATCTTCCTGGACCAGGGCTCGAACCCGTGTCCCCTTCATTGGCAGGAGGATTCTTAACCACTGCACCAGGAGGGAAGCCCCCAATGTGAGGTTTTAATGAGATATTGCATGTAAAGCCCTTGGCTCAATATCTGACATGTAGTACAGATTCAGCAAGTAGTAGCAATTAAATGTTATATTTAGCCTAGGTTAAATCCCATTCAGACTTTTCTACAAAACTGATATTATATATGCAACAAAGGAACCCCTTAGTGATAATGTGGCTGAGAAACTTCTGAATCATAATAAATGCTACTTATTATGCATATTATCTCATCCTCACAGGCCCTGCCAGTGGGCAGGACTTCTGGAGGCCCAGGTGCAGTGTGAGCCATGTGCCCCTTGGTGGGCAAGAGAAAGAAACCCCCAGTCCTGCTGCCAAAGAGGTCGAGGCCTGCCCCACTCACCAGTTTGTGCAATGAGGACTACCTTCTTCAGGGTATGCAAAAATGTGCGGATTGGAGTCCAGAAGTTCAGGCTGATGGTGAAGGGCTGCCCCCTCCTCACAATGAGGCGCTGGGAGCTGATGTCATTGGTGTGGTGCTCTACATTGTTTCTTGCTGCCTGGAAGTCGCAGCTCTTGATCCCCAGGCCTATTGTGAAAAGAAAGAAATCATGGAGACTAGGCAAATATGACAATGTCAGTAAATGCAGAGACGCTGGAGTCAGAGACCAGGGTTTAAATCTTTGGCTCAACTCACTTACTAGCTGTGCGATCTCAGGCAAGTAACTTAACTACTCTGAGCCTCAGTTTCCTCTTCCTTAGAACAATCATCCCTCCTTGCAGGGTTGTGGAAAGCAAATGAGGTAATGTATATAATACACTTGGCACCATGTCAGACACATAGTAAGTCCCATTAAGTAGGACTGTTACTATTATTAATAAGAGCGAAGCTTGTTCTCATTGTCAACCCCCCTTTCTGGTCCCAATCCAGAAGCAATGAATAAAATCCAGAATTTTGCTCACCCCTACTCATTTTTTTCCTAAGAACACAATCAGACAACTTTTAGAGCTAGTTTTGAAATCACTGAGTCCAATTGTTTTGTTTTATACGTGAGAAGAGTGAGGCCCAGAGAGTAGAAGCAACTCACTCGAGATTGCACGTGGCTCTTTCACCTAAAGGCTCATTAAACCCTTGGTACCATGCAGCCCAGAAAAACGCTACAAGGAGGGGGCCTGTGAGTATCATGACATCCTCTCAGGCAGTTCTCACTTTACATCGAGAACTTGTAAATGTAAATGTGCTAACAGAGGCCCCTGAGATTTCTGCATTCTCTGCTGCTGCCTGTTTCCCAGCTTGGTGTCTGCCTCTGCCCCTTTTAGTTGGATTCCCTGCCTCCTACCTTCCTTCTCTCCCATTTAGCTTTGATGTACCACAACCCAGTGAGAAGAGCCATGTTAGGATGATCCTGGGATAAAGAATATAAATCCGTTTAACCACCATCATCATCTTACCACCATCATCATGACGATGACCAATTTACCACCAACAACCTACCCTATTGCCACTCCATAGCCACACTCCCAGTACCATCGCTACCACAGCACCCACCACCACTTCCCACCATAACCCACCTCCGTCATCTCCACTGCTGCCAGCACCGACTACTACCCTTCCCACCAGAGCCACACAACCATTACCTCCAGTACCACCAGTACCCACTGCCAGCCCCCACACCTCAGCCCCTCCACCAGCAGCAGCACCCATTTACTATCCCCCCACCATAGCCCTACTGCCATCACCTCCACCACCATTAACACCCACTACCACCTCGCCGTCACGGTCACATCATCGTCGCCTCCACCACCATCCTGCTTCTTTTAATGAAAACATGTAAGGATGGAGGAGCTACTGAGAGCCCAGTAAGCCCTGTGGAGAGCAGGCTTGGCTCACCTTGTCCCATGGCTGCAGGCTGCTCTTATCCACTTGGCTATAGGAAATGCCTGTCTTGAACTGTTGCTCTGAGCTTCCTCTCTGAATCTGTCTTCCAGACAGAAAATGATGAAGGCACTTTTGTTGGCTTAAGAATCTGTAAATACTGGAGTTTCCTTCTGCTTCCCCACATGTTTGTCTCTCCTGCTCCTTCCCCTCTGGTATCTCTTGGACCAGCTGCTAGGAGTTCCCCTTTCTTGTTTTATCTCTTGTGCCAGGAGGCCCAGACAGGGGTATGTCTGACAGGCTGGAGTGGGGGGTGGAGGGGGGCAAGATCTGACAGTTGGAGAAGCCCAGGTAAGCTTCTAAGCCTCTTGCTTCAGTGGCCTCAAGAGACCCTCAGAGATGTTACCTGGATGACACTGAAAGACTCTGGAAGGAGGCCCATATCCAACTCCAAATTCAGGGCCTAAACATATCATGAGCTGCAAGCTGTTAGATGTTCATGGGCCATTTTGATAGTATAAAGAGAGAACATGTGTGTCTGCGATTCATCTGTGTGAAAGAGATTAGCGGGTGGAATTTGTTGGTGAAAAATAAATGTCCTAAAAGCAGAAGCAAGAGCTCTGCCTCTTCCAAGCCTGATGGGTTTGAGACACTCTACCAGAAAGTTTGGAACTCTGTTGGGACTTAGGGCTTATGTCTTTCCTATTTCTACTTGTTTAGTCAACAAGGACACGACACAGAGGAGGATCTCCTATTTGGCCCTCTTTGGCCTCCTGGGTTTTATCTGGGCTTCTGAGACTGTGTCACCAGAAGCTCTCTCAGGTGCAGCTGGACTGGCCTGCATATATATGGCATATCTATAGAAGGATATAAAAGAAACTACAAAGACCATTGGTTGCCTGTGGGGAGGGGAGCTAGGGAATGGGGTAAGAATGTGATTTTTCTGCTGTTTACTGTTTTGTTTTGTTTTTAAACATCTTTATTGGAGTATAATTGCTTTACAATGGTGTGTTGGTTTCTGCTGTATAACAAAGTGAATCAGCTATACATATACATATATCCCCGTATCCCCTCCCTCTTGTGTCTCCCTCCCACCCTCCCTATCCCACCCCTCTAGGTGGTCACAAAGCACCGAGCTGATCTCCCTGTGCTATGCGGCTGCTTCCCACTCGCTAGCTATTTTACATTTGGTAGTATATATTAGTCCATACCACTCTCTCATTTCGTCCCAGCTTACCCTTCCCCCTCCCTGTGTCCTCAAGTCCATTCTCTACATCTGCATCTTTATTCCAGTCCTGCCCCTCGGTTCTTCAGAACCTTTTTTTTTTTCTCTAGATTCCATATATATATGTTAGCATACGGTATTTGTTTTTCTCTTTTTGACTTACTTCACCCTGTATGACAGTCTCTAGGTCCATCTACCTCACTACAAATAACTCAGTTTCGTTTCTTTTTATGGCTGAGTAATATTCCATTGTATGTATGTGCCACATCTTCTTTATCCATTCATCTGTCGATGGACACCTTGGTTACTTCCATGTCCTGGCTATTGTAAATAGAGCTGCAATGAACACTGTGGTATATGTCTCTTTCTGAATTATGGTTTTCTCAGGCTATATGCCCAGTAGTGGGATTGCTGGGTCATATGGTAGTTCTATTTTTAGTTTTTTAAGGAACCTCCATACTATTCTCCATAGTGGCTCTATCAATTTACATTCCCACCAACAGTGCAAGAGGGTTCCTTTTTCTCCACATCCTCTCCAGCATTTGTTGTTTGTAGATTTTTTGATGGTGGCCATTCTGACTGGTGTGAGGTGATACCTCACTGTAGTTTTGATCTGCATTTCTCTAATGATTAGTGATGCTGAGCATCCTTTCATGTGTTTGTTGGCAATCTGTATGTCTTCTTTGGAGAAATGTCTATTTAGGTCTTCTGCCCATTTTTGGATTGGGTTGTTTGTGTTTTTGATATTGAGCTGCATGAGCTGTCCAAGCTATACTGTTATGAAATAAGCAAGGTATAGAACAGTGTGAACAGTATGTACCTTTGTATAAAGGTGTGTGTGTGTGAGAATATATATAAATTTGCTTGTGTTTACATAGAATGTTTCTGGAAAGTTACTGCTTCTATATAGGAAAATTCAGTGCCTGGGAGTAAGGCTTTTTTCTTTATGTCCTTTAGTGTCTTTGTGCCACAGGAATATATTATGTGTTAATATTAAAAAAACAAAAAAAAAAAACCCCAAAACTTGTAGGAGTAAGAAAAGGCTGACCAGAAGACTGTTTTCACCACTGTGAGCCCCCTACCTGGGAGGACAATGGGGGAGTTGTGGGTTGGCTCCCCTTTTGGGGTTCCACTTCTGGCACTAGCAAAGAGAATCTTCTCTTTCCTGATACAGTTTCCATAGAGCTTCACAAATATCCACTCTCTGGCAGTATTTCCTTTGGGCCACTTTTAGAGAAGCCTGTGAGGAGACAGATACTACTGTGTTTTGGGGGAGCTGGGGAAAGGCCAGTGGGAGATGTGAGGAGGATGTAGGGAGGAGTGACCAGAAAGGTCTGTCCTGCTTCCTCTTGCACCCACACCTTTCAACGCCCCAGCCTCTGACAGAACAACAAACTTTCAGCTGGTGTGCACCCAAGAAGGATTCATTTATTCATGTGTGACACAAATATTTATTGAGCACTGTTGTGATTCTGGAACTGTATTAGGCACTGACTGGTAATATAGTAATAAATTAGCTGGGGGTGTACTTGCCACCAAGGAGCTTATATTCCAGCAGGGGCAAACAGACAGTATTAAGTGCTTACACCATTAATTATTTACTTGCTGTTGTGACAAGTGCTATAAAAGGTAAGTTCTGAGTTCTAGGACCTAGATGTGGAGGTCAAGGAAAGCTTCCCTGAGAAAGTGATATTTAAGCTGAGAAACTGGAAGGGTAAACAGTGAGCTAGGCAATGGTACAAGGGATGGGGTGGGAGGAGAGAGAACAGCCTGTGCAAAGGCCCTAAGGCAGTAAGCAATTGAAGGAATGCCATGGCACTGGAGCACAGATTATAATGGGGAGAAGTAAGGGAAGGGCTCCTCTTGCAGAGTTGAGTTAAGGATTTTTAATTTTATCCTTAGATCACTGGGGAGCTATTGAATGGTATTTTAAGCAACAGTGTCACACAAGCAGATTTTCATTTTAAAAATACCACACTGGTGGGCTTCCTTGGTGGCACAGTGGTTGAGAGTCTGCCTGCCGATGCAGGGGATGCGGGTTCGTACCCCGGTCCGGGAATATCCCACATGGTGCGGAGCAGCTGGGCCCGTGAGCCATGGCTGTTGAGCCTGCGCGTCTGGAGCCTGTGCTCCGCAACGGGAGAGGCCACAACAGTGAGAGGCCCACGTACCGCAAAAACAAAAAAACAAAAAAACCCCACACTGGCTAAAATAGGGATAATAAGTTATTTAAAGGGGGCAAAAGTGGAAGAGAGAGGACCAATAAGGAACACCTGTAATGGTTCAAGTGAGAGATGACAGTGGCCTGGTCAGAGGAGTGTTGGTGAAGATAGAGGTGGACAGATTTTTTTTTTTTTAATATTTATTCACTTATTTGGCTGCGCCAGGTCTTAGTTGCGGCACGCGGGATCTTTAGTTGCTGGCACGCGGGCTCTTACTGTGGCATGTGGAATCTAGTTCCCTGATCAGGGATCAAACCCGGGCTCCCTGCGTTGGGAGCACAAAGTCTTAACCACTGGACCACCAGGGAAGTCCCAGAGGTGGACAGATTTGACGGAAATGTAGGAGGTTAAATTGGCAAGACATGCTAATGGCCAGGATATGGAGGGCAAAGAAGAAAAGATATTCAACGTGACCCCCAGCTTCAAATAAATTAATCATGCCAGTACATTGCTTTACAAAGCACTTTCACATACATTATCTCATATCATCTGACCTCAATCTTGTAAACGCAGTAAGGAATCAATATTCCAATTTTATTGGTGAGAAAACAGGTTCAGGGAGTAAGCATGTTTATTTTAATGAATGAATTAATGAATAAATCGATTACCATACTGCCTTGTTCCAGAAAGAATTTAAGATGACTAACAATGAAACATGATGTGTCAGAAGAGCATATATTAAAACAATGCAAAAGATGAAAGATGAATAGAGATGGAGACAAAACAGAGCAAAGATGAGGCTAAAAATGCACATCAAACCTACCTGTACACATGCTGTCCACACACTAGAAATTCATCTCTAAGCTTCCCAGTATTTGAGGCTTTCCCAAGATCTCAAAGTGTATGATAAAGACTGGACTCCACTAGGGTTTTCCAGCTCAGATCCGGCACATCTGAGTTCATATTAGTCTGTAATCCAAACCACCACTGACAAGGTCTCTGTAGTCAATCTTTTTTTAAAAAAAAAAAACTCAAGCATTTCAACTTCTAAATATAGCAGAATAGCTTGATACCATTGCCCCTGTTGAAAATTACTAGAAATCTGACTAAAATATCTCAAATTCCTGTCTGAAGGAATCTAAGGCAGCAGAGATTTGAGGGATTGTAGGGAGAAGAGAAGCACAGAGAGGTAAGTCTGACAGAGTGCCACTTTTTCCTTTGGGACACTTGCTGATTCACTATTGGCAGATGACAGCCTGAGGATCTGAGCAGATTGGCAGTCTTACAAGGATGAAGGATAAATATTGGAGTTTCAGAGCCATTAAGGATGAATAACCCGAATAAACACCCTAGGTTATCAGTAGGGAGCCCTTAAGGGCTGTACTCCAGGAGTAAATGTAAATAGGAAATAGACGAACACTTACAAAGACTGACGCCTGATTTTGATTGTTTTTAGGCTCTCATTCAATGGAAATTTTTACTCCTGCTGACATTGTTATGGATGCTATTATCACTGTTATTTATCTAATAAGGTTCTAAATGTTGGAATAGCAGAGAATGGTTTAAAAAATTTTTATCGTGATAGAAAATATATATCATAAAATTTATCATCTTAACCATTTGTAAGTGTACGGTAGTGTTAAGTATGTTTACATTGTTGTGAAAGAAATCACCAGAACATTTCCATCTTGCAAAACTGAAACTCTATACCCATTAAACACAACTCCACTTTGCCCCCTTCCCTCAGCCTCTGGTAACAATCATTCTACTTTCTATATCATTAATTTGACTAATTTAGATACTTCAGGTAAGTGGAATCATATTGTATTTATCCTTTTGTGACTGGCTTATTTCACTTAGCATAATGCCCTCAAGGTTCATCCATGTTGTAGCATGTGACAGGATTTCTTTCTTTTTTAAAGGAATAGCATTCCATTGTTATGTAT